GTTGGGAAAGATATGGGGGGGAGCAATGGCTGGAGGCAAGGATTGCTTTTTCTGCCTATCCTGGGCATTTGGGAGTAAATTTTCAAGTTATTGAAAGTGAGGAATGTAGGGAGATGGATTTAAGCTTTATTTAAGCTAGAAGTGGTATACATGGGTGTGGTATTGAGATTCTTGGCGAAGTTCAGACAATTTGACCTCCAAAGGGGTCATGGAGGGGAAGGCTGACTTCCAGGTGACCAAAAATGCTCAGTCTTAATTGGATGTCATGGTGCACACCTGAGAGATAGAGGTAGGAGGGTCAGAAGTTCAAGGTCATCCTCGACTACATAGCAAGTTCCAAGCAAGTATGGGCTACATGAAGCCCTGTCTGGAAACATAACAGAATGAATCTCAGTCTTTTGTATGCAATAACATAGTGATGGAAGCTGCCTAACATGCCCTTTGTCAGCAGAAGATGTTCTACCAAAGAGTAGTGGGGAAGAAGTAGAAGACTATGTCTCTTGCTTTTCCAAGAAGAGTCTGGGGTACCTGTGAAAGGGGTCGCCTGTAGAAGGGGTAGGAAGGGCAAGCTGTCACTGTGGTGGGAGGGGCCATCACACTCCTGCTCTTAGGCATAAGGCTTAAGCAACACTTCTCTGAGCTAAGAACTAACCCCTTAGTTAAATCATCTGCCCCCTAGGATGATGGGACCTGCTTCCTCCCACCCTCCTGCCTTTCAGTATCCTTGGTGCTCCATGAAGTAGCCATACCAGAGGAAGACACAAACAGGTTCCAGGCCCTGATCCAGAGGGGTAACACTGTGGTGATGAGTCAGGCATGTGAAGAAACCTGGTCCCTAGTTGGGTCTGGGTAAGTCCTAGGCCCACAGGCTCCCGCTTCAGTGAAATGAGGTCTCTTCTGAAAGACTCTTCCATGAACAAATCCATTTGAGAGTCTATCTCTGCTCATGGTGACCACCGGGAAAATGAGTGAGCAGAGCTGAGTTCTAGAGCTTCAGAACTGAGAAAGACCACACTAAGCCCTCAGCTCTGTTCCACACTCAAAGTAGGTTCACCTACTATGCCACTGAGAGAAAGGCCTGGAAGACATTCCCAGCAAAGATAAGCATATTTCTTACTCAAAGCACCATCTTTAGGAAGACTCTGTATTTAGAAGGACACCAACTAGAAGATGTCTGATCAAATATTTGAAGCAATCCTGTAGTCTAGGGGCCTTCAAAGATGATTCCTTAGGTAAGAAAAGAAATTCTAGTTAGAACTACAATTTATATGTATTCCTAATGTTACAAAAAGAAAAAAGAAACTGGGTTTTACTGATTATTATCACTTTTAGACAAGCACTCTCATTTAGTAAGTTATTTGATTGCCTGTCACGTGAAGATGTGATGCATTCTCCCGGGGGTGGGGGGAGATGGGGAAATGCATATTTTCCCAGTAAAGGTTCATCCATCTGTTGAAACAAATGGACAAACGGTAGATAAGCATGAGAATCCCGTTTGCATAGGTATACGGGAGCCTTACCAAACAAAAACTCAAAGAGGAGTCAGATGATCAAGCCTTCAGTCCATTCTTCCTACCAGAAAGTGAAGAGGCTGTAGGCAATTTCAGAGGAATAAGTAAATGATTTTTAGGTGAGAAAATGAGGCTGGAGAACAGATAATGGCCTGAGCTGGAGTTCTTCAGCTTTAACCTTTGGTCTCTTCCCCTGTGATATGATAACTGTCTTCCTTAGTCCATGAAATTTCAGTCAGCTCTGAAGGCAACTGCGCTCCTCTTGGTGGGTCTGGTCTTATTTTGATAAGGGGGCTTCTGGGAGAGCCCCTCCCTGCATTTTCCACTCCCAGGTGCTTTTTGACAGAGGTCCAAAGTGGACATATTTTGGAGTATTTTTCTGAGCCCCTGAAGACCTCAATGACATAAAGGCTAAGGGTGATGTTTAGGACACATTGAAGTTCACATGTATCCAATGAAGTGATTTGCTGATTATGCTAACCAGTTTTAACTGAACATCTTCATAGCCTAGATGGATTATTTACAACAATTCCTGCAAAACCTGACTTGAGAATAATACTAAAACAAATGGACAAAACAAATGTAAACACAAATAATCATTTCTACTTCTAGGAGCTCCTAGTCAGATAAATAGATGAAAAACAACTACGACCTAATCAGACCTGAAAAGAAGTCAGTGGTTTTTAAAAATTATTAAGAGTCTTGGTAGACTTCTGTTACTGCCATACCTGCTGATCTTTGTAGTGTCCTAAAAAAACTTATTTTCTTTCTTTAAAGAAAAAGGGGAGGGGGCAGGCTGGAGAGATGGCCCAGCGGTTAAGAGCACGGATTGCTCTTGCAGAGGACCTGGGTTGGATTCCTAGCACCCACATGGCAGCTAACAACTATCAGTCCCTAACTCCAGTTCCAAGGGATCTGACGTCTTCTTCTGACCTCCGTGGGCACTGCACGACATGGGTGCACTTACATACATGCAGGCAATAGACTCATAAGCATAAA